ATCCGGGCAAGAAACAACTGGCCAAAAGAGTCAGGCAAGCACAACGGGCAAACAAATCCGGACATATTGTTTCAAGTGGCCCCCAAACCATCAAATTTAAGATAACATCTTTACAAAAAAGTAAGGGCAACCAATCACACAAAGGGCGTTGCCCACAAGAACCCCTGATCCTCTTTAGTCTGACTGTTTTGGGGTCCTCTTTAGTGTCCAACTGGGTTTGGGGGTTGCTGAAAAACAGGCTCTTCCCTGCTAAATTAGAATTGGCAATGCTAAATTGAATACTGGGAATCTGAGAGGGGGCCTTGGCAATACTAAAGTAGCAATACTAAAGTAAGTACTGGGAATATGAGAGGGGGCCTTGGCAATACTAAAGTAGAACTGGCAATGCTAAAGTAAGTACTGGGAATCTGAGAGGGGGCCTCGGCAATACTGAAGTAGAATTGGCAATACTAAAGTAAGTACTGTCCCTCCCAAACATTCAGGAATTTCTCTAAAGAGGGTCCAGCAGACTGGCTCCACTGTTCGGGGGGGGGGGGGTCGTGTAAAGAGGGTCCAACATTACAGAGTGTACCATCTGGCATTCAACATAGAGAACTAGGAGGCACTGAATGCTACATCCCACAGATGCTACATAGGGCCCTTAAATTTGAATGATGGGACATGTGAATTGGTACCCCGCATGTACGCATGTCACACATCCACTTCCCTGGACGGTCCTCAGGTCTAGCCAGCCCAGACTGCGAGCACACGCAAAGGCTGCAGCCTGGGCAGGTCGACCGTTGGTCTCGTGGCGTGTGTTGTTGGTTTTGGGCTTAGGCAAGGGGTGGCTTCCCATTTACCCTCTACAGGACCCAACACTCAGCTATCTTGGTTAGTCTAAAAAAACGCATTTTGCGATGGCCGGCGATTGAAAATGCACGATCGAATATACATGCATGTCTGTTTGTAAGCAATTGCCTACGATATTACATTGAAGTTTGCACACATGTCAGCATATCTTTAGTCGACTGATCCCTAATATTATATATGTAGTTGTTCACTATCAAGGTCCAACGACACTAGCTGTGGGCGCTGAAGGAGTTTGACATTGGCCATATCTTGCGGCCCAATGTGTCCCGGAGGGCTCGGCTGAAATGGACACCTACGGGCTTGACACTATGTTGCTCGGACATAGCCGCAACAAACAAGGCGGCACCTATGACCGGCGACCTGTATGCCATATACCGGCCAATGGGGCTTCGATCATCCCTGGCCCACGCCTGCGTGAAGACCATAGCAGAGGCGATCGAGCACGCTTGGACCCCAAGTCCTTACAGCAGAGGGACGGCCCAACACTAAAGTATAGAAGAGGTGAATCCAGGTATACTAAATATTTCCCCTTGCAGTCTTATCAGGGCATCCGTCACCAAGCAGCCCCGTTACGCCCCACACATGAATATTTGATGTTTTTGGGGGGATCAAGGGTTGAAGACAGTGAGGACCTTTGAACTTGGGAAATCAAGGGTGCGTTGAAGAGTGCAAGTGTCTTAGAAGCTCACCTTCGAACCATGTCAATGGGTGAATCCCAAAAATGGTGACGGACCCTGGCCAAAAAGACGATTATTGAACTTGATCAATCCCTATACATGGTAGGCAACACGTCGCACAGCTATATAGTATATGTATATATACTAAGACTCCCCTGGGCCCAGAAGGAGACAGCAACCTTTTTAAGAAAATAACACAATATATATATATAGTGAAAGGCTGTTCTGCAAAGACTGTTGTTAAACTGAGCCTGCAAACTGTTTGCCATTTATGATAGCTGACAGACTTTGCCGCGTCGAACCGCTATAATTTCAACATGTATATATGTATATATACAACAAGAAAAATACACCCTCAGAGTGGCCGCCCTGGCCTACCCGAGGTCTTAAGTTTCCCAAAATTACTTAAGGATGATAAACCCTGGACGCCACCGTTTAGAGGGGCAAGTTTGAGGGGTGTGAAGTTACCTCCTGGGGGGAGAAGAATTTGGAACCACTATGGCAAAGGTTTCAGGCTGTTGGGGGTGAGAAGTCCATGAAACCAACATGAGATATTACTCTTGGATGTGGGAAACCACCATGTTTGAAGGGTTGTCTGGGGCTGCGAAACCCTTGAAACCATCATGATAGAGGGTCGAGAGGTTCTCAAATTTCTTTTAAGGGGTGAAAATCCCTGGAACCATGTGGGGTCATGTTGCGCAACGTGTGGATCTGAAACTGATGTTTGGGGCTGGCTCCTTGCAATCCATAGTTTTAAGACCTTCGGGGTGAGTCCCCCAAACCAAACATGTTGCTGCGACCCAAGGTGATCATAACCTCTTGAGATATTGGACCGATTTTGGGGTGGAAGAAAGCAGGCCTTAAGTAGGTACACTGGATTGCTTGTGTTCATGGTCAAGACAGATGTTTGTTGGGTCAACACTAATGGGTCGATGCAACCAAGTCACTTCACCGCCGCCAACCACAGTGAGCCCCCCCCTTAATCAAATCATCTAGCTCATCATGAACTTCACCATCAGACTCATCTCTCCAGGGGATGCGGTTGTCAGCAGGCACATGGTCAGGCATCCTCACAAGGTACATACATGAGTGGACATGCCCAAAGCACTCCAAATGTTGTCAGAACATATATAAACGTATTAATTCTCTACAAGGCTCAACGCGGCAATCGCAAAGGCAAACCCCCAAGGGTATGCTGCCGAGCGCCTCAGTGTTTTTGAGCACCCCGCCTTAGCAATTTCGCCCACAAAACGTATTTGCACAATTGTGTGCATGGCCATGTAAAGGATTTGCCAAGCAGCAACCCGCAGTTGTCCTTTGCTGTCTATGCTCTTCTTCACAAGAACCGGCTGTGATTTCCTGAAGCGACCATGCAACCCCCGACTTCCAACTGTTCCATTGGTCTCGCAACTCGCCACGCCTTGCCAGGGTCTGCTTCAGAGTGGCAAAATTCAGCGGCCTCTGGAGGCTGGCCATGCCGGGCAGGGTGCCGTAAAGCCTGAAGCCGTGCAGGGATCCATGAACGGTTAAACATGTGCACAGTTCAATGATCACTGCGCATATATGCCAAAGTGCACCAAAGCCACGTTGTGTACTTCAATGTCTTGGCACCATATGCCCCCACGACACTCTCCTAAGCACAAGATAAACTAGCGTGCGTGCGATCATCAAGTGTATAAATACAAATAGATCTATGTAAATACACGCATATGCCAGACACACTATAGATGCTGTCTAGTCACTGCGCCTGCACTCTGGCCAGAAACCGCTTCATGGGCCCGAACTCCCATAGTAACTGGGTCAAGCACTCTGATACACAGTGAAAACTTAAGGACCCCTCCATTGCGTTGCGCTTCTCACTAGGCATGATAGGTCGGAGGCTGAAGATATTGGTTGCTCCAGTACAAAGAACACGCCCCGCATCCAGGCGAAGTAAAGTCTTAGCTCATGCACATGCGCAGGCACGCATGCTAGGCCACACGTGTGCACCTTTGTGAAAATACTTAATCCATGACAAGCTGCACGTAGATCAATCGTTTGACAAAAATGTTTGCTCGTTGAACACATCGGACCTGCTCCCAGCCAGCAGGATTTGCCCATGTTCGCCCTGTGCAGGATCTTGACCTTGAAGCATCGACACACTGCCAACTTCCAATAGCCCCTGAAGTGACAACATTGAAATTGCGGATGAGTCGCAGAAACACCCAAGTACTGCAAGGTGGTCCCACCATTATGACGGCTCCTCTTCGGCAATTTCTTACCTCAATTGCACTGTCACCTGCTGTCTTCCCCACCCAAATATTTGTTTCACGTGCACATGCAATTACTGCTTCGCCGGGCAACTGCGGCTAGAACAGCTAGCAGCCCAACGCTCCGAAGTAAATCATGGTTTCCAGAAAAAACCACCTCGATATCCAATCTCGATCCAATATGTGCATGCCAGGGTCACCCAGAGATTGCAATCTTTTGCCGACCAGCCACATCAAAAGCTTTTCCTTGGTGGCCGCAACGTCTCATTCCCTCGCTGAGGCGAGCCCGTCCAGCACAGAGTTCCACCTAGGGCGCGGGCATGTTCAGCAGTATATGTTGTCTATAGGCAACGTGTGCATTGCATTGCGGAACAGTTCGCTTAACACTATAAGGGCTTGGCAAAATCATTTTGCTCGTGCGGCTCTGGAATTTTGCCCAGCAATACTAGGATCGGGATAAGAAGCGAAGGCTTCATGACTCATATGACTGCAATGTGTGCACTAAATTTCTCTGAGCCAGGGCGCGTGACATTCATGTCAGGATCATGTTTTCAGTTGCCAGCATGCATGTGTTTTTCAGTAGTTGCGAGCATGTGTGCAAACGCATTGGCTTCAACAAACTCACAAATCTTCTTTTTGACACGTTGTCACCCCTCCGTACACTTGCTTAGTGTCGAGCGCTGCACAATTTGTCACAGGCCCCAAGAGTGAGGGTTAATTGTACCATCTTCACATGTGCAAGCACCCTCTCTTCATGGCCTGATCAACTTGCCCCCATAAACGTAAGATGTTACAAGGACCAGCCGTTGGCCCTTGAAAGCAACTATTCTTGCATGCGTGCAATGAGGTCAATATTGTGAATCTAGCATGTGCATAAACTAATGCCTGGGCTGGTACTTGCAATTCCCCTATGCCATCATGGCAAAGAAAAGCTCAGTCAGAGTCATCGTCCCTGGCCCTTTTTTGGGAACCCCTGGACTTAGCCTTGGCCTTGGCCTTGGCTTTTGCTTTCGCCTTGGCGTTGGCACGAGGTGGACGAGGTGGGCATTCGCCCCGGAACCCGCCCTCAACAGCCTTCTTGAAAGAGTAGTGTTGCTGGCCCCGAGGGTTGATCCAAACTCTGTACACATTACCTTTGGCCTTGCCACTCAGCCTCTTCCGTGTTTCGATGACCCAGTCCTGCAAAACGTCGGGCACGGTGGATGCAATTAACACAAAATATATTTTAGTCCTGGGAATGTGACCTCGTCAGAGTTTCATGCTTCCTGAGCTACAGCTTGCGCCATACCCAATGATCGAAGGGGGTCATGTATAGATTGCAATCTAGATTCGCACGTTCTGGTTTTCCCTGCTTTGTTTGAAGTAGTGCAAGTTGCGCTTGAGGTGTGGGCACTGGTCCTAGGGCCCTCGACAAAGCCTCTTGCTGCACACGACCGATCACCACTTGCAATGCGCTGTTCGTGTAGTCCTCGGCAGGCACTGTTTCCACAAGGGATGCCAGCTGCTTCTTGGCTGGATCCTGGCTGCGTGTCTCAAATGTGTTTGGCTCGAAGGCATGAAAACATAATCGAGAAAAACAGCTCCTTGCGGCTGCTAGCAGTGGTGCTAGACTGATTGGAGGATGAAGACAAGCTAGTGACAGTGCTGGGGGAAGAAGCCGAGCTGCTGGCGCTGGCAGAATCGCTTGAGCCGGAAGATGCACCACCCTGGGGCTGAAGCTCACCTGAGATGTGACCCAGACCATGGACAATTGCACATGTATGCGTGTGCATGCAAGGAATTTAGTGTCCAAGTTACCCTCTTTGCTGGTAGCTGTTGACTGGCCCTCCTTGCTGACAAGGTAGCGTGTCAGTGGGACTTGCGCAGTCTCCCTTGGAGGTGGCTGTCTCAAATTTAAAGTCACCGGGAATCGGGGCCCTTTTGTGCACCATCGAAGCAATGTCCCGTCCTTTGGCTTGGCTTCCTCCTTGCAGCTATCTGGCCCGTCCTCCCCAAGTGCCTCCGCCGGCTCCGACTCACCCTCGGAGACCACCGGCTGCTGCGCTTCATCCTCTGAGACCTCTGGCTCATCATTCTGCGAAGCAATTGCCTCTGGCTGCACTTCCTTGGTGTGGATGGTGGAGATGTCGGCCCCGTCATCCTGAGAAGCCATTGCTCCCGGCTGCGACTCATCCTCCGAGATGTCTGGCTCGCCAGTCTTGACCTTCGGCCAATCCTCCTCCGACTCACCCTCAGAGACATCCATCTCATCATCCGAATTCGAAGCCATCAGCTTTGGCTGTGCTTCCTCCAACTCACCCTCAGAGACGTCCGACCCCCACTGTCCCAGAAGCAAAGTGGGCTGTGTGCCCAACAAGCTCTCCATTTCCCGGGAGTCAGGCTGCCGGTCACACTCCATTAAAGCTGCCCGTCGGCGCTTAGCACTGTCGAACACAGCACTTTCAGGCTCATCAGCCTCTAAAACCTTCACCTCAAGATCCGACTCGCCCTCGGAGACGTCCGGCTGGTCAGCGTCCAACGCCTTCTCCTCAGCGATGTCCGGCTCATCAGCTTCTTCTACCTCTGGCTGCGCTTGCTCTGACTCATCCTCAGAGACTTCCGGCTCATCAGCTTCTTCTGAAGCCTTTGGCTGCGCCTCTGACTCATCCTCGTCCTCAGAGTCATCAGCTTCTGAAGCCTTATCCTCGTCCGGCTCACCGGCTTCTTCTGAAGCCTTCACATCTGGCTGCGCTTCCTCTGACTCATCCTCATCCTCAGAGACGTCCGGCTCATCAGCTTCTGAATGCTTCACCTTTGGCTGCTCTTCCTCTGACTCATCCTCAGAGACATCCGACTCATCAGCTTCTGAAGCCTTCACCTCTGTCTGCGCTTTATCAGAGAGGTCCGGCTCATCAGCCGCCTCTGGCTGCGCTTCCTCTGACTGCACCTCCTCCGACTCATCCTCAGAGACATCCGGCTCATCAGCTTCTTCTGAAGCCTTCACCTCTGGCTGCGCTTCCTCTGACTGCACCTCCTCCGACTCATCCTCAAAGACATCCGGCTCATCAGCTTCTTCTGAAGCCTTCACCTCTGGCTGCGCTTCCTCTAACTGCACCTCCTCCGACTCATCCTCAGAGACATCCAGCTCATCAGCTTCTTCTGAAGCCTTCACCTCTGGCTGCGCTTCTGACTCATCCTCAGAGATGGCCGGCTCATCAGCTGGCTGGGCTTCCTCTGACTCATCCTCAGGGACGTCCGGCTGGTCAGCGTCCGACGCCTTCTCCTTTGGCTGCTCATCCTCAGCAACTCCCGGCTCATCAGCTTTTTCTGAAGCCTTCCCCTCTAACTGCACCTCCTCCGGCTCATCCTCAGAGACATCCGTCTCATCAGCCTGTGAATCTGGCTGCGCCTCCTCCGACTCACTTTTAGAGACTTCCGGCTCATCAGCTTCTGAAGCCTTCACCTCGAGATCTGGTTGCGCTTCCTCTGGCTCATCCTCCGAGGCATCCAGCTGGTCAGCCTCCAAAGCCTTCACCTCCTCATCGGTCTCCGACATCTCATCCACCTGCGTGTCCTGCATCATCCTCTCACCATGATGGCTCAAGTCGGCCAAAGGAACCTTCGGATGAGGCAGCCGCGCATCCACCTCTTCCTGCGCAGAGGCAGTGGACCCATCCTCGTCACTTGTGGAGCCAGCGTCTGATCCAGACTCCTGCGTGGGATGGATCCAGTGTGCAGGTGCCGAGCAGACTGTTGTGATAGAGGAAAAACCACACACGCGAAGACAGACAGACAGACAGACAGACAGACGGACGGACGGACGGACGGACGGACGGACAGACAGACAGACAGACAGACAGACAGAGAGACAGAGAGACACAGAGACACACACACACACACACGCCCCCAATTCGTGATCTAATTTCAAGCATATTATATATATATATATTAATTGGATGCCATGCGTTGCATACATTCGTGCATGATCGATACACGTGTGCAAAGCGTGACAGGCCTGCATCTTGCCCTTGCTGTGTCCGGCCCCTGGCACCAACCCGCAGGCAGTCCTAGGTTTGGCTACAATGATGGATCGGATCCTACAAAATGGTTAGTACCCCCCCCCCTTCAAGGTCAACAAGGTTTGGGAGGGGCAAAATTTTGAGGC